AAAAGAAGTTATACCGTGGTAAGAAACCTGTTACTAGTGATAATCATTTAGTGAATAACCACGAAAGTCTTAAAATCTATATAGTATTAGTATAATACAAATTTTAATTCGGCCAGAGGTAGTATAGACACTTAAGTGCTTAAATAAAGATATTATTATTGCATTATTTATTTTATTGAATACCATGGATCTATCATAACACTATCATGATATTCATAGCCACGGTGAGGCAACAGGTGCTGGTCCTAGTGGGCAATTAGACTGACGACAGTCGGTCTTTGTACCAGTAATGCTATTATTATTATGTCGATTGCCTGTTTCAAACCGATTCACTACGGGAAAAACTTGAATTCGAGCTAGGTAGTAGCGACCATTGACTTACAATTATATGGACGTCGGGTCCGCGCTAAAAAGTGTCCGAACTTGTAGGGCGTTAAAATCGTATACAGAGCGTCATTCACGCTTTTGTCTTCGTTTGTTCGACTGACAGTGAAGCAAGCAAAATCAGACAGTACTGCGATGACATTACAATGTAAATTCAACGTTTTAGCTTTTTCATATTCCTTTACATGTCATTACGTTTAAATAGGTTGACTTGGGACATTTTTTTCGTGGTTTTTGTATTAGACCCGTCGTCCATTTATTTGTAAGTCAATGGTAGCGACTCATAATTTCACTATGACATTGTTGTTTATGGTCCAGATTATGTATCTAATTTAGTCATATTAAGTCAGTCACTTTGTAGCATTCCCATTAAATGCACATATACGTATCATCATCTCTTGTGTATACCCAATACTAAACCGCCTCTGTGGGCGAACGGTTACCATGCAGAGGTCCCGGGTTCGATTTCCCGGCTGGGAGAAACATTTGCACGGCCTACATTTGTTTCTTTAGTAAGTTTGGGTGTAATTCGTGGTTATCTATGTATGTGCCCATGGCACCCGTGATACGGGGTTTCCCTAGTTGAGCTATGAGCGCATGAAAAACAATCCTGGAACATCGCAATACTCAGCTGTAGCCAGTACAGAAGCTCTTATTGTAGCAACGACCACGAGGCACGTGTATACGTGACACAAACGTGTAAATTCAGTTTTTTTCCCACAGTCAGCGCAGAGCATCAGCCTGGTGAACCGCGGCGTCACCGCCAGAAGCGCCGACATCGCCGCCGCGCGCGCCCCGTCCGCGCCCCCGCCGCGCCCCGAAGTCGTCACTACAGCCCACAAAGTCAGGGAGAGCTGCATTTAGACTGTATATTATATTTCATTGATAACTTATTTACTATGTTGGAAGACATTATGTAATGAAAATGAAAAAATGAATGAAATATTGTTAAAATTCACACATAAAAGAGGCTTTTTTGCTGTCTGTACGAATTGTCTATGAATATCAAATATTCAAAATTTCTATGTATAATTTATAAGCAGACCTGCGAGGAAAGTAGTAACGAACTTTAGTGTGAAATTACAATTAAATTTAACTTTCTATTTGGCAATTATTTGTTATACAATTTAACTCAATAAACATTTGCTCTTTTATGATTTCAATAAATAATTCATGTAAAAATCTAATTTCATTTTTGCTAATTGCATTTGCTTTGCGTCTTGCAGAAGTCCAGTGCTCAATTTACATTACTGCAGAATGGAATGGAAGCACGTACAGACTAGGTTTGAAATTCTCCGGAAGACGCTCTAACCGTTTTTAGCTCGTATTAGTTTGTACGTTATATTGACATAATGTTACGGTTACAAAACTTCGGTTCCTTCCCTTCCGCAGTAATATAAATGGACTCAAAATTAATTGTAATGCAAAACAATATAACTATTAATTTAATTCAATCTATGGTAGACCTCTAGTGGCTTGCATTCTGAGCGCTAGATAAAAAACTAAGTTTTCTACGTTGGTTTTGGTCTAGGTATTGTGAACAATGCCTTGAAGTTATATCGTTGTGTTGGTACTCATAGTACTAGGAAATCTCTAATTTAACGTCAGATTTTTTGGTGTGAATGTCTGTAATTATATTTAAAAAAATGTAAGATATACGAATGCTTGTTAAATAAAATTATGAATATTGTTAATAATAAGTAATTTAATAGTTTATTACATATATTATTGTAATGTTTAATGTTGACGTTTTCCGCCCATTACGTAAATAATAAACGAGATTGAATATTAAAATTAATTAAAATATTTGATAAGTTTAATTATCACAAATTATACTTTATTCATAAAAAAAATTACCTGGCTACTAAGTTAGTTTGTGATTATATTTTATTAGTAATTAGTTTATTTAATTGCATATTTACTTACTATTCTTAGATAGAACAATTAATTATGCATAAGCGTGTTAAAGTTCTAAGATTTATTCTGTTGTAACAAATGAATGTTGTAAATATATGTGTAAGTAATATTTATTCTAACACTAAAACTAAGGCAATCACTACACGTGACGCTGAATCGGCTCAAGCCGGTTGAGCCGTTGAGTGAAATTGTTTACTTCTTAGTTGTTTTTCGGACCGACGACAGCACCGAATATCTTTCAACTGAAGTGATGATGACAATTATGTGTTAATGAGCAAAGGTAATAAATAACGCACAGTTAAAACTGTCTTAGTAAAAATATCTTAATTAACAAAGATCGATTGGTGGTATTCATTGGCAGAATATAGATTCATTAGTAATATTTGATACTATAATTATGGCGTATGTTTGTTATTAATAGTTACGTTACACGATGTAATAGCAATTACGCACATAATAGCGAAATGCTTACGGCAGCTAAGTGTTAATAACCATTTTCTATACGAACGTAACATTTTCTATGGAGTAGGTGAATCGACTGACATTGTTAACACTAAGTGATAAATGTAACGATGATTGTGAATGTTTTATTAAAAAAAATGAAATGAAAATTTTTGATATATTTTATTTCTTAACTTCTTTCAACTAAAGGGGTTACCACACTTATCGTACGGAATTAATTGCATTAAGCCGGTTAGAAATATTTTAATAATTGCTTTATGCCCATATTTTAATGTGTCACAAGATTGAAATAGTACATTATTGCAGAGGCGGGGAAGTAAGGGATTGCCGGACGAATATGAGTTACAAGAACGAGCGCCAGCTTGTATTGATACAAGTCAAGCAATACCATTTCCCGCCGAGGCTTGTAAAGTATTTTTCTCAGACAATGTGAGGAAATAATAAAAGACTAAAGGAAGATGTTTAACGGAAAAACTAAAAATAAAATACCTAAAAACTAAAAAAAAACAAAAATAAAACATAAAAAAATTTTGTAATTGAAAGTAATATTTGACGTGTTACGACAATTGAAAATGTTATTGTTTTTCCTGGCACATTATTAGTAGTCTGCTGAACTTCTGAGGATGTGTTAGAATGTGTCTCTATTATTGTATTTTCGTTATTGCTCTTCTCACTGGCACTCATTTTCGCGACCAAAATACAAAAAAAAAACACGAAAAACAAAAGAATACAAAAACATTTTAGTTTAACTGTTACAGCTATTTTCTTTTTTTTAAGTTAGCGGTACAGATAGATATTTTTATTTTCGCAATTATGAATACTGGGCAGTTGGCTGTGTATTTCGTTTGCCTGTTTACATAGCTCAGTAGGTAGATTTAAAAGTTTAGAGAAGAGGACAGTATTGGATTTTCATACATACTTTGCAGGCCTTGGCCGGGAAGATGTCTCACGATTCATAATTGACAAACTTTCCGTGTTCGTTTTTTGAAAGTAATGCACACATTCCGAGCGTATTTGCGAAAAAAAACCTTCATTTCGTTCCGAACGTCATTTATCCGCTCACGCGATGCGCTCATCCTACCGCAAAATGGCGGCTATTTGGTTTCGCAAATTAGAAAAGGATTCAGTTTAAATACAATTTTTTATAAATAAAAATTATTATTCTGCATTGCTAAATAATAACCCTCCGTACTACAACAAAAACATCTCAAATAAAATGCAGTAATACACCGCAAATCCTGCACTCAAAAAGCACTAATGAAATTTTTGGTGTACTTGGGTAAATATGATAATATTCCGTTAGAGTGGTACTAACGTTTACCATGAAATTACTCCTTAAAGTATAGTTAATGAACATTTATATTCAGGGTAAACTTAAAAAACGCTACTTACGGTATGTTTTCAATAAATAAACACCGAAATCACCAGCCCAAACAGTAACACACACGATTTTCGTGACGTATTTGTGAAGTTGTTTATTTTTTTTAAATGACAGACCCAGACATTAAAAACTTTATGGTTTGCTAGAGTAGTTACCGAAATAGCAATTAGTATTAGTTCTTTTACCCGTTATAACTTCGATATCCGATAAATCGGTATAAAATCATCACCGGCACCTCAACTGTGGTATGCGTCTACGGCTGCATGTATCGCGTGAGCGGTTATACGTAAGGCGATAATCCAGGAAGTCCACATCTAATAAATAGCTAGTCAAATATAAACTACTCCTGGGATTGGTCCTTTACTTTACTTAAAACAAAATTAAATTAGTTAAATCATTCAATCATTTCATCAAACCTTCTTATCTAAATCTAATACGTGGCGTAAACGCCAACCTTCTATTTTCGGCACCCTGACTTTAATTCCAGTCTTCATCTGCCTCACTTTACTTCGATCTTACCTTCTATTTTTAACCGACTTCAAAAAAGGATGAGGTTCTCATTCGACTGTTTTTTTTTTGTGTCGGTATGTTACACGATTACTCCGGCATTTGTGAATCGATTTTGATGTTTCTTTTTTTGTTGAAATGTGGTACCTCACTCCATATTGATTCAATTTAAATTTGAAGAAAATATTTCACCTCTAAGGGTGGCAAACTAGGGGATGAATACGTTAGTTTTATACGGTTTACGGTTCTTTTTTTTTAATAAACATTACTTTTATTTTTATGATACGTATTGATGGAACGAATAAGTCATGCACCTGGTGTTAAGCGACACGCCTGTCTATAGCAGTTGTACTGCAATTTAGGGCTTTACTGCGCCCTGATGGGTGTTGACACATAAGTTGGTAAGTCCCATGTGTTGAGAACATGGTGAGATGTGACTCTGGTACGATGAGGGTGTGGTGATCTGAGAATATATATAGTGAGATTTGAATTTGGTAACCTACTCACAAAGGGTGGTGAGCTGAGAACATTCTTTTATCATATCTAGTGAGGGGACGAACAAGTCGTTCGTCTTATGGTAATCTACACGCCTGTCTATGACAGTTGCAGTGTCACTCAGAGCTTTAAATCGCAAAGGTGTGAGACATAAATTGACAAGTCCCATGTGCCTGTAATTTCACCAGCACCCACACCCTTCAAAGTAATGCTTACATTACTGCTTGGGGGCAGAAATAGGTAATGTGGCTGTACTTCCCTGGATGAACTCTTTCACAAGGAGCTCTACTGCTGCAAAAACATGGTAAGTTGAGAATGTGGTGAGCTCAGAAAATATTTTACCAGTGCCCTTATCATTCAAAACTGGAACGCAGTAAAGCTTACATTACTGCTTGGTGGCAGAAATACTTAAAGTAGCAATACTTCCCTGGACGAGCTTTCAAAAGGAGCTTAAATAAAGAAATTGTTTCTCAAAATATATGTATAATAATTAAACTTTTATTGAATTGATATTCAATTATTTTTTGTGAAATTACTCCACTAGTTTGTTATAATTATTAATACAAAGATCGAACACTCAGAAAAAATTCCTTCGATCCGGTCGGATTCGAACCGACGTCTTCTTGCATACCGTGCCAGACGCTATATCAACTAAGGGAACGAACCAACGGACCCCACGAATTTTTCTATGTGCTTGCGTCGTGTCTTTGTACTTGGTCTTTCAATGACTTTTTAGTCGTAGCGCCATCTATGAGAAATCTATGACAGATTTATCACCCAGTTAGTACCTTTACAGCTACCAGTCCTGGCGAGAGATGTAGCTATTCACTGTATTAATTAAATTTTTATTGAATTGATATTCAATTACTTTTTTGTGAAATTACTCCACTAGTTTGTTATAATTATTAATACAAAGATCGAACACTCAGAAAAAACACTCAGAAAAAAATATAATTAAAAAATATACATATATAGTATATAATTATACTATATATGTATATTTTAATGTAAAAGCTCAATTGGAAACACCCATGCTATTTTTGTAATTTATTTATATCTGTTATAATCTTATCTTTAACTATGGTTTAAAATCTTTATTAAA